CCTTTTAAAAGAAATTCATGAAGAAATTTTCTTTACCAGCACAACACAGGGGGAGGACAATGAAGCAACGTATTGTCTCTCGGGAAATATTCATGAAAGAGTATGTTTTGTACAAAGCATATGAGACAAACTGTCCTTCTTTAACCAGTAAGCAATTAATGAAGACAGGCTGTAGCATTAATTATCAAAAGGTGTAGTCCAGGGGTAGGCAACCTTTCCCCTTTAAGGGCCGAGGGACTTCAGCTCCCAGAAGCCTCAGCCATGTTGGCCAATAGTCCCATGTTGGCCAATAGCTCCTGGGATTCTGGGAGCTGAAGTCCCTCGGCCCTTAAAGGGAAAAGGTTGCCTACCCCTAGTGTAGTCCAATACTTACTTCTTCTCATATTTATGAATGACTGTTATTCTTTCATATGGAAAGTGATTAAAAGTTCCTGTGAACCTCAAACACCTGCCAATGGAGGAAGTAACTCTCTTCCATCCATGATTTAGTGCTTTGCTCCTGCTTTTTCCCCATCAGTCTTCATTCTGCACTTCTTTGCATTGTGTGTGTGGGCTTGGAGCATTCAGTCATTCTGAATCTGGAGATTTAGGAGAATCACTTTCCTTCAGAGAAGGCTACTTGTGCCTTTACAGGAGTCTCTGCTCTAGGATTGCCTCCTTCTAAGCAAAAGGCAAACAAAACAGATACATTCACACAATGAATACAAGGTTCATGGGGGGGAATCTTACTTTTATGATCTAAAAGAAATGGTATATGTGTAAGAATGAAGTACCCTTTATGTGCCAAAGTTATCAGAAATTTGGGAAACTTGTTCTGCTCAAAGACACATCAAGCTAATGTGAAGTCGTAGGCTTTCATGGCCGGCATCCATAGGTTTTTTGTGGGTTTTTTCGGGCTGTGTGGCCATGTTCTAGAAGAGTTTCTTTCTGACGTTTCGCCAGCATCTATGGCTAGCATCTTCAGAGAAAAAGCTAGATTATAATGGATTTAAAGAAGGAAGCAGGAAACATTTATTTCAAAAGGAGGGGTGACATGCCATTCAAGACTTCATTGTTGCATCCAAGGAAATAAAAGGAGGCTTCCTTGAGGTGAAAGCTAGAATCCCTGGAGAGAACTGCTGTTGAGGAATTAGTCATAGTACAAAACTACAGAAGCCAGCAACAGCTGGCAGGGTGAAATTGAGAGCAATCTGACTACAACTCACTGGCAACCAATTCCTCTTGTGTTCCCTTGACACCCCTATCATATTTTCTCCTCCTTGCCAGCGACTTCTTTCTAAAGGAAAAGTTTGTTCAGCAAGTAGCTGTTTAAGACTTCTCAGTCTGGAGCAAGACATAATGCAGTGATTCATGCATTTAATTGAAATAACAATGTCAGTTCAGGTTGCGTATCCTGACACCCCCCCTTTTTTTTTTTTGGGATCCACACAGATTTGGTCTGCTATGCAATCTGCTGCAGAAATTCCATTCATGCACACCCCAAACATCACACAGTGCTGGGATCCATGTTCAGCACCAGAGCTGTCATCAAATGTCTAATTGTCTGCTTTAGCAATTTGCCTTTCCTGTCCAAAAAATTCATTTAATCGCCTGCAGAGTAAACTTCCTCACTGCTCTACAGCCACAATGCAGGATCATGGCTTCTAGGGAAATGCTAAGCCCCAGCTGCCATTTTGGAAATCAAGTACTGAACAGCCTGCAGCAGATCAATCTAGAATAACAAGCAAGTATTTCTTGACAGGCAGTTCAGCCCATCAAAGAGAAAGGTTTATCTTACAGAGTGTCCTGAGTCTCAAACAATAAACTCCTGTGAGCTAGCTGGCTCTCCAAGGCAAAGAAGGAGGTAACAGGTTCTGCTTTAGTTCTGAGAAACCAGGAGCTAGTCATGGGGCTGTACAGTCCCTTCTTCTCCAGATTAAATTCTTCTTTCTCATTTTAAGCACTGATAAGAAATCATAGTCATAAGTCATTGATAAGAAGCCATAGGATCACAAAATCTTAGACAGCTGGAAGAGACCACAAGGGCCATCTATTCCACTTCCCATCCAAGCAGGAACACACAATTACAGCACTCCGAAAATATGCCCATCCAACTTCTGTTTAAAGATGCAGAGTTCAACATCCTCCCACAATTATAGTTAAAGCATTAAAAGAAGGAATCTTCTCTTTAAAGAGGAAATGACATGCGATCCACAGCTGGTTGAGGATCTCTCAGACTTGGTTAAGGTTGAATCAGGGTTATTTACATCTGTACCAGCTCCTCAGGGACTTTTGCTTGCTCTGCAGGAGCGCCCACTCCTACCAATCTGTTTGCCTTCAACCAGCTGCTAGACAATGTTGTCTCACTAGCTCACTGTATCCTATTAAAACAGAAGTGGGAATCACATGGCTCTCCCAAAGTTGCAACTCCCAGAATTCTTCCCCATTGGCTATGCTAACTAGGGGTGCTGGGAGTTGCAATCCAGCACTATACAGAAGGCCACATGCTTACCGCCCATTCCATACAGAATATTTAACACAGCCTGGTTAGTCACAATGTTTTAATGGAATGCTTCTCAAAGGACTATTCAAGTTGGTAGAAAACATTTCTGCTGGATTAGGTAAGAGTCACTTCCCTGTACAAATGATTAGGATATTTTGTTCATTTCCTACGTTTGAGAACTTGGCACACCTTCGCCTATGGAACAAAAAGGAAACCTGGCAGGCAGTGGAAATTTTGTGACAATATTTCCTACAATCTTGAGGGAGGAAGCCATCTAAGGATTTTTGTTTAAAAAAGGAGAGTAATACTTTGTTACTGGACCAAGTATACAATAAAGAAACATTGCAACTAAGATAAAAGTGGAATATATTCATGTGTTCTGAGAGTTGTGTTAACATAACAAAAAGTATATTAACCCAAATGTGACATTTGAACACATACTGTACACCTACAACCTGCTGAAGCCTCAATACTTTTCCTTTTCTCTCTGTCTCTGGAAGTGACATGGAAAACATAACCAGGAGACAAGTAACAACTTTAGGTTGTCAACATTTATGTTTAGCACACTTTATTTTTCGCAGCCTGATTTTCCACCCATCTCTTTTTACTTTCTTTTCCCCTCTGCCATGACCTTCCTGCTGTGACACTTCCCTTACTATTTCCTTGTCCCATTTCCACTTTTGAACCCTTGTCAGAAACAGGTTCCATTCATATGCATCTTCTCTACATGCCCCCAATTTCCTTTGGAAGGCTTAAATCCAGGCTTTTCAATTAACCAAATCCTCACTCACACTTTCATAATACATTCATTCACTTAGTGTAGGACATTGACAAAGATCTTACTCTGTTGACCAGCCTTCCTCAACTTGGTATCTTCCAGATATACTGGACTACAGCTCCCAGAACCCAGCTGCAAGTTCTACTGAAAGTAGTTATGCAAAGGCACAATTGGGTAAGGCTGATGTAGAATTTCACACAGACTGGTCTCTTGCATAAAATGCTTTTTTACCTATGTGGCAGAAACTTTGAGTACACAATTAAGTCACCAGCAAGAAACAGTCTAGATGGAAGATGTACTGGTGTGCACATGAAAAAACTGGTGGCCTGTGGCCATGCCAGGTAGAGACACTCATCAGTGAGTGGTTCCTCCTTTTGTTGGCTTGTACTGTAGGATGTTGGTACATTAATGGGATGCACTATGAATAAAAAGCCCCTTTAAATAAGATGTTGGGCTCTGTGAAAGCTTGCCCAGGTAAAGCCTTTTGCCTGACTCTTACATAAATCAAAATTTATGTTCACAATGACACAATGATGTTCACTAGAACATCTACTTCAGTCTGTATGTTAGAAAAGAGGAAACAACTCCATTTTTCCAAGCTATCGATGCATCTCAAATAACGATTACAAGAATGGATGTGAGCAGGACAGTGAGATATTGTGGAAGGTAGGGGGTTACTTTCAGGAGCAATAGACTACTCCATTCCAGTTGTGGATGGAGCAGGGAGTGAGGGGCAATGGCAGGCAAGGTCTATTTCAAGTCATAACTACAAACCTTTTGGAAGGATCCAGTTGGCAAGGAATATTCAGTGCAAGGAATATCATGTGCACATCCCACTGAACCTCACCCCACTCACACCATCTCATCAGTGTTTTAAAGGGAAGCAAGCAAACTCTGTAGCTTGTTTCTGCCCAAAGGCAGATGTCTGGGGTAACAGTGGTGTCACCCTCCTTAGGGTGTCACCTAGTGCAGCCTGCACCCCCACAACCCCCTAGTGGCACCCCTCTCTACACATTCTCCTCTGTTGCTCCACCAAGTCTTTTCTTGGGTTTCTGTTTCTCAATATGCTGCCCATTCTGTTCTCTTTCTTTGTCAATCCTACCCAGGGGTAAGCAACCTTTTCCCTTTAAGGGCCGAGGGACTTCAGCTCCCAGAAGCCTCAGCCATGTTGGCCAATAGTCCCATGCTGGCCAATAGCTCCTGGGATTCTGGGAGCTGAAGTCCCTCGGCCCTTAAAAGGGAAAGGTTGCCTACCCCGATCCTACCTCTGAGCTTCCAGCCTATTTTTGGTTTCTGTACAGTTCAGAGGCCTCTTTACCACTTCAAAGTTCCTTAGCAGTTAAAATATAGTGCTAATTCTCACTGAGTTGATGCAATTTCTGTTAAGGCTATACAATTACAGATTGCAAGTGGAGGCTCATACAAGAAAACTTGCTGTATTCCAGGGGTAGGCAACCTTTCCCCTTCAAGGGCCGAGGGACTTCAGCTCCCAGAAGCCTCAGCCATGTTGGCCAATAGTCCCATGTTGGCCAATAGCTCCTGGGTTTCTGGGAGCTGAAGTCCCTCGGCCCTTAAAGGGGAAAGGTTGCCTACCCCTGCTGTATTCACTCTTTCATTCACATACCTCTTCTCACACCTATAGACAAAGAAAATGAACCTATCAGACAGAAGAATTCCAGCCCAGCCTTTTCCTCGACCTTTTGGTGGGAATTTGTTTCTGTGTAAAGAATAATTCCAAGAGCTAGCATGGTGTAGTGGTTTCAGCGTTGGACTATGACTCCGGAGACCAGGATTCAAATCCAGGTTCAGCCATGTAAACCAACTGGGTGACCTTGGGCGAGTCATATTCTCACAGCCTCAGAGGATGGCAATGACAAACTCCCTCTATGGAAACATGCCAAGAAAATCCTGTGATAGGTTCGTCACAAGTCAGAAATGACTTGAAGGCACAGAACAACAAGAATTATTTCACTATGTGAGTCCCCTCCCTCGGTTTATACAAACACTGGTTTTCTATCCTAGTAAGATGATGGACTTCAGCAGTCAGTGGATGAGTCAGTCTCCTTCTGTTACTTGATCACAACGCTTCTTTTACCACACCGTCCTGGACTTATGTCCTCATTCCCCTCCTCAGCCTTCTATTCTCATATACTTATTCCAAATGCCATCCTCAATTATCCACCACAGTGCTCTGTATCAGTGTAGGGACAGATAAGAAACATATGGAATTGTTTATGCAAGAGAAAGATTTTAAAACAACATTGTTGTTTTAGTCCATCAGTTTTAAGGGAAAGGTAATTGCCTGGTTTTATAATCTGAAGTGATAGCATTAACCACATTGCTTGGGTTTTTTTTATCCTTCAGTCAGCAACCACATTTGAAATGAACAAAGCAAAACCCTACAATCAGTTTTACAAATTAGCTTTGCAAGAACTTGACTTTCTTGCCAAACTCTTTTTGAAATTGCATTATGAGTTTAGATACATTTTGTGACATGCCCTTTTCTTCTTTTTATTTCAGGTCAGAAAATGTCCTTTTATTTCAAAACCAATAAACCTTGCCTCTGTCATTACCACAGAGCTCAAGTTAGTCATCCTCTAAGGCTGCCTCCTTGGGTTCAAAAGTAATCTTTCTAAGCAGCCTTTTCTCTGGCTGTAATATCTCCCTTCTTCGCAAGCTATCTTTCACTTTTTCCCATGAGCTAGCATCATGTTTTAGTTTATGCAAATAGGGAGGGGGATGTTATCCAGAGACACAGTGTAATGGTGGGAGAGGTCTAGCTACAGAAGTGGTTCTTGATTTAAAATTATTTATATCCCCAAGTTTTCACAACTGCACAAGGCCACTCTCCACAGTAGTTGAAATGATTTATAAACAACTCTATGCAACAGTACAAACTAAGCATTAAACCTGTTAATAATTAAAGCTAGTAGCAAGAGTATATTCTTCACCTTGTTTCTTCCAAATCCTTTCCAAAAGAGACAGGTTTTACAAAATAATCAGAAGACCATAGGCAAGTGTGTTTGGGAGTGGGGGTGGTCACTGAACATTTTGGCTGCAATCCCTCTATAAAACCAGAGCAACAACTAAGAAATACTTGCTTTTTGCTGTTGAGAATTTAACCACCTATAAATGCAATGTGAGCAGGACTCACAAAGACTTTAGAAGGTGAATGGCCTCAGAAAGTATAGGAGGTACTTTCTAAAGAGTAGAGGCTGAACATCTGGCTCTCCAGATGTTGTTGCAATGAAACTTTAATGTTGACTGTGCTGGAGAGGGATGATGGGAGTTGCAGTCCCACAACATATAGAAGGCCACATATGCCCAACTATGATGCGCTAGAACCAGATTGTAAAGGAATTTAAAGGCAAGAAATGTCACAATCAGCTGGTTCCAGAGCCTCACCAGTAACCATGGCTGTTGGCAAACAACCAGCTAGATATATGATAACTTACCAGTTGCATTTAGGCGCACTACAGCAGTTAGTATCTGAATTTTTAAAAAAGTACGGGTAATTGTTGTAAGGGCTTGTTACGGCTGGTATCTTAGAGTCAACTTCTACAAAGAACTTTGTAGCACCAGCAGATCCAGGAGAACATCCAAGCTGCTGGATACTTGACAAAAAGATTCAGAGGGGCATATTGCAAATTGGCATCATTTTGCTAAACCAGGATCTAACAGAAGCCACAGCTTCACAACTACTATGTACTCTTCAGAGCACTGCCAACAAGAAATGTGTTATAGAGGAACAGGAGAACTGTTTGGGAGAAAGAATACCTCTGTATGATAGAAAGAACTGGATTGCTGGTGTATATCTCTGTTTAAGATTTAAATCCATAGCTTTCATAAAATCTATGCATATAATAATATGATTATGGCAGTATTGTGGACCCTTCCCACTCAAGACCAAGTCATTCCAAATTACATTGTTGCTAGGAAAATCTATTTCCCATCCAGCTACTATGGGGACTGCTGCTGAACTGAAAAGGAAAAAGGAAGTGCAAAGGAAGATTGTTGTTGTTGTTGTTTGCCTTCAAGTCATTCTGACTTATGGCAACCCTATGGGGATTTTTATTGGCGTTCAGAGTAAGTTTGCCATTGCCTTTCCCTGAGGTTGAGAGCATGTGACTTGCCCAAGGTCACCCAGTGGATTTTGTGGCCAAGTTGGAAATCAAACCCTGGTCTCCAGAGTTGTAGTCCAACACTCAAAGCATTACACCATGGAATGATATAGCCCAGGGGTCGGCAACCTATGGACTGCGTGTGGCCCGCGGAGGCCTTGGGACCGGCCCATGGCTGGTCCCGCCACCGCGGGCACCATTTTGGAACCCAAAATGGCACCTGCGCTCACTTGCACGCGCATGCACACAGCAGCGGGCACCATTTTTGAAGACCCCACGGTGGCTGCACAGCCACCATTGGGTCTTGGGAGGCCGCACCACGGCTGCGCTGGGCGAATTCGCCCGCCGCAGGTGCAGGAGGGCCTTTCCATGGCCCAGGAAAGCCCCCCCCGCGGCTGCGCCAGGCGAATTCGCCCACCGCAGGCACTGGGGGGCCTTTCCAAGGCCCAGGGAACCCCCCCGTGCCTGTGCCAGGCGAATTCCAAAATGGCGCCTGCGTCGTGCGCATGCGCGCAGGGGGGGCAAGTGTGCACACCTACAAGCGTGCACATGCCTGCCCACATGCCCCCGCGCCATTCCCCCACCACCAACAAAGGTTGCCGACCCCTGATATAGTCTCTGCAAATCAAAAAATCCCAGGGCTACAATCCTGTGTTCCCTGACTCTTCTATACACTGCATGCAAGGAGAGAAAAGGTTCTCCATGAAACCCAAAATAATATTTTATTTGGTATGGCTGAGTGACGAATTTAGTTTTTTCTAGTTGAACCTCTCAGATCTAATCAAATTATTTCTTAATTCTGTCAGTATCTCTGGGCATACCTGAAATATCAGTCTCTGTATCAGCTCTAAGAATAATCCAGTAGTTGAATAAAGGAAAACCCATTACAATAAAAAGTTTGGAAACATAATGCACATGTTGAAGTTAAACATCAGAATGGGAGATGCAAAGCAGAAGGCTAAACAGCCCTCTCTTCCCTCCCACACATCATGCCCCATGGTCCCCATCCCAGTGCCCTCCAGATGAGCTGGATTACACCTTCCATTGTCCACAGTCAGGATGGCCCATTGCAAGGCCAACTTATCTGGGCTGGAGAGTAAGCAAGCCTTACGAGGCATTTTCAACACCACCCAAACAGAGCATGTTATTTTTCATGCAGATGTTACAGTTACTTGCTTTATATAGCTTGCCATAAATATCTGGTTCACCTTTGAACATGAAAATCATATCCCTCTCATAAAAAGAGCATAAATTTCTTGTGCACAAGTTTTTCTCCTCAGTCCTGGCCTTGATTCCATAACTGCTAGTTTTGAGTATCAAACACACACTTTTGCATGAAAAGTATATTGTGAAAACCACTATGAAATCAGAGTTTCCTCCAACCTGCTGCTGTGCTGGATGACTCAGCTGTAACAACACTAGATGTTTCAGGTTTATTGAGATTATCCAGGCTACGAGTGGATGAGCATAACAAACAATGTCCATTCTCACTTGGCTAGCTCTTCACCCCATGCTGGGAATTACCTCCAGCACCAACAGACATGGTTGCAAGTAAAGCTGCAAATGTTCATTTACGCATGTTTCCCTTTTCCCTTTTATATGCATTACTACTGGTTCATAATCATTTTAAGGCATCAGCAGGCTCAGGCAGCAAGAAATGTGAAAAGGAAAGTTTTACAGTGGAGAGAAAACAGATGATGTCTAGCTGACAACAGTTGAAGATGAACAAAATTAGTTGTACATACTTGGACTTCATACATTGCCATACTGTTGTTACAAAGTCCCCTTCTCACACTATGCAAAGGGATATCATGCAATAAAAGGGATTCCTTGGTCCTGATAAAGTGGTTTAGATGTCTACTGAGGATGGGGGGGTGGGGGTAGGGAGTACAACTAAGTGTGCACACAAATACAGTTTCTACATGTCCTGGAACTTTGACTGCCTTTCTTCTTATCAAAATATTTGCAGAAAACATCAATTCTAACTCTTCTTCTAAAATAGTAATTTTAAGACAATACTTTGTTTTGTTGCTGCGTGCCTTCAGGTAGCTTCCAACTTATGACAACCCTAAGGTGAAGCTACTATGGGGCAAGATTTATTCAGAGGAGGTTTGCCATTGCCTTCCCTTGAGGCTGAGAGAGCACGACTTGCCTAAGGTCACCCAGTGGGTTTCATGGCCAAGCAAGGAACTGAACCCTGGTCTCCAGAGTGGCAGTCCAACAATGAAACCACACTGACTCAACACTGACCACACCGACTCAACACAGTACTTACTATAACATGTATAAACATTTACTAACTGTTTATCAGATGTTATGTGTAAATAGTTCTTAGTAACATTACTATGAACTATATAAACACAACATCTGAAAAACAGTTAAATGCTTATTTATTATTGTTCTACACATATACAAATATAGGTAAATTTATCTGACATATATAAATAATGAATCATATTTTCTTAGGTTCCTTTCAGCCATAACTCTTCACACTGGGGCCAGAAGGTCTAACTGTATTCACACAGCAGCATCCCAATCCTGATGTAATGCAAAAATGATCGATCAAACTTACATGGAAGGCCAAATGACTACAGTAAAAAGGAAGATAAAGTGACACCTACTTTTCTGTTATCACAACACAGGAAGCAGACATATGGTGTCTGGTAGGTCTTATCTGTACAACACTAATG